GTGTGTTTTGTTGGTTTGTGTGTGGTCGTGTTTCGTGTGTGTGTGTGTGTGTGTGTGTGTGTGTGTGTTTGTGTGTGGCTGTTTCTGTGTCTGTGTGCATGTGTGTGTGTGTGTGTCTTGTGTCTGTGCGTCTCTATGTGTGTTTGTTAGTTTGTATCTATGTATGCCTCTGCGTGTGTCTGTGTACGTGTCTGTGTCTGAGTTTGTGTAGACATTTCTGGGCGTGCTAATGTTTTGATGTGTACCTCTTTGTTGTTGTATCTGTGTTGGATTCCGTATGTGTAAACATGCATGTTTCTGTGCGACCTGGAGAGATATGTTATTGCTATATTCTTTCAGTTGGGTAAATCAAAAGCAGAATTCTACGAAATTGAAACATATTGCGTGCTACACTTTGGTACTCTTTTAGCTACGGGCATATCCCAAAGAATATTCACGCGCGATTTCAGCAACAGCCACAATCGTATAATGTGATACTCCTTGTCGCCAAGTTCTACTTCTGCATTGACTTTAATTCACTTACCCCTCGCCAAGCAAATCCAGGATCTCGAACACATCGTCGGGATGCGCCGACAGCTCGGCTTCCGTCAGGGTATCTAATTTCGCCATAACTTCAATGGAAACTTCAATCGAAACAAAAATGAGCGTGTGTGATGCGTAGTCGGCACTCTAATAGGGCAATACTAATTACCAGAGTGCGGTCATGTACCGGCACGTTACTAGCTATGTCCTGTAAAGCACAATGAAAGCCTTGGAAGTCTTTCATGTTTCGAGCTTATCTTCCACATCTACCAATCAAATGCAATCAGGAACTGGGTAGTTTTTCTTTTACTTTTTGGAAACAAATCGCTATATTTATACTCTTAAACTTGGAAGCTGAAAGACGATATAAACTATTCAAGACAAATGTGAGTTTCGTGTCACCATATACTTACCGCTGATGCATTTTCACTACTTCCGTATATTGAGCTGTGAAACGAAAAGCATCAAACCCCACCTCAGGACAAGCACGCTATTTCAGTCATGTTCCATAAGAATGACGATCGGGGGTCAGGTGGTCATATTATTGCTCTACGTGACCACAATTGAAAATATGTAAGACCATATGCACGTTAACACATACGGTTCGTATCTGCGAGGTCGCACATCGACATGCGAAATGACAAGTGCGTCCAATGAAGTGACATTTATGGATGATAGTGTTTCTGAGGGTGAAATTACTGACACCACACAGTCCAACGTACGGAATGTCACAACAGACCTTCTGTCGCTTGACCTGACTGAGTCCAAGGAATATATGCAACCCAGGGAGTCTGAGGAAATCCAGGAGAATGAGGAACACAAGGTGGTTCGCAAACATCCCATATCACACACACATGACACCTCGGTACATTACACTCATCACCGTGAACGGGAAAATGGACGTGTACACAAGCAGCATCACGATCATCACAACGGTCACCGGAACCGCGCACATGACACGAGACCAGTATGCAGAAGTTTTCCGAATTGTAGATTTGGAAACTCTTGCAAGTACAGGCATCCTAGACGCGCGTGCAAATACCATGTGAACTGCAAGAATGTGAATTGTCAATTTAACCACGCACCGCCGAGACATCTGCTTGTGCCAATCCGACAAGTGACATCCGACGTACACGATATCACGGCAGGTTTGCAGTCGGTTGGTTTGAATGGTGGTTACAAAGTTGAGAATGGTGACCCATTTGAGGACTTCCTGTTTAAGCTACTGCGTGACAATCAGACCCATCCCCATGCTGTGTTCAGCGGGGTTGCCATAGTAACCTATATCAAGGCAGTGGACGATAGAGACCAGCGATCCGCTTCCCAGGCCCGTCTCGAACATGAAATTACGATCCAGTGCACGGCGAACAGAGTAGTTATTCGTGCAACACATGACAATGTCTCGTTCCGAGTCTTGGCCGCATCCCTTGGGGGTGAAATATGGGGCTTCTTCGATGCGAATGATGGAGGCAAACCCTATAAGAGAATCTGGTGTTTCAAGTCTGAGCATCGAAGGCCTAAGCTGGTTCCGCGCGAAGGAAACCGCACCAACTCTACAAACGGGCTTTTACTAGACGACAGTCGATGCGAATACTGTTAATGGATTGCAAAGTTAAGGCTCATAACAGAGTCAATACAGGGGTCCAATTAAAAATATCTACTCGCGGAAAAGGTGAGCGATTTTGGTTGATCCAGATATTTACATGCCGCACGTCGTGTATAAATTCAAAATCGTGAAGGTCGAAACGTGGACAAGACTTACTTCACTCGCTTGGGCTTAATTCATGCAGTTACTGCCAGTGCATACTTAAACCGTCGTAGAGACTGAAAAAAAAAGATGGCTGTAATTGAGTACCAAATGTAAAATAAATGTCACAACGCTCACATTGCCCCGTACAAACAATTTAAACAATACACTCGAGTTCATCACAAATCCTCCTCTTATTTTTTCGTCTTTACTTTATTTTACTTTTTATTTTTACACTGACTCGCAGAAATTGCTGTTCGTTTCTGGTCTTAACTATCACATTGTACGACTTACATAATCCTTTGCACATTTAGACTTCCATATCTGCGTCAGACATTAATCTCGAGCGTCTTCGTTCGGGAATCGTGGCTGCAGCACACGCGGCACTCGCCTTAGCCATCAGCTTCTCCATTTCAGATACCATATGATGCACAGTACCCGTGCTAGTGAAGTCCACCATTGCAATCCAGTCAGGCACATACAGATCCAGACCCCTGATCTTGTCACCAACCTTCTTGGTGTAGACACCACCGTCGCACAACTTGTGATCCAGCACCTCAGATAGGTAGTCGGCCTCTCGCAGGATACCAGTGCGGTGTGCGGGTGTAAGCATGAATCCATACGCGCATTGAGGTTCAGTGAACCGAGGGGGGTTAATGGGGATACCCATCATAGCCAAGGTCATGTTCACGGCAGGTGAGGCGCCGAACACCTTCTCGTGCATCTTGCTGACGGAACCTCCGCCTACACGAGGATTGCACTCGATGAGCACCGGTCCATTCTCAGTGTACCAAGCCTCCATGTGGAAGTTGCCCAGCTTGAAGCCAAATGCTTTGACACAGGCTGCTGCATACTCAATAAGCTCTTGCTGTACATTGGCAGGGGTGAACGAGGGCATATGGAAACCTCTGTCCTGGAAATAGGGTGCTTCGGGTTCCCAATTGTCGATCACATTTCCGTACACCATCTCGCCGTCCCAGAACTGAACGTCGATATCGAACTCCGTCACAAGTCCGCCGAACTTGATGGGAATGATGCATGTCTCTGCCAGGATAGGGGCCTGGTCACCAAACTGGTTCTGAGCCAACATCCAGTCACTGGAGATATCGGCCAACAGTCGCTTCACCATGGTATCTAACATATCAGCATCTTCGATCTTGTACACACCCGCTGATCCCATACCAACAGTAGGCTTGATGATCATGGGGAAGCCAACCACCTCGATGGCCTTGGCAATATCCTTCTCTGTCCAGATCTGCACGGCGCTTGCGGTGTTCAGACCAGCTGCCTCGAGCGCCTTGCGCGTGGCGTATTTATCACGCGCGATATCGTACGAGGACGCGGGATTGGCAAAGATCTTGAGGGTCTCGCACACCTTTCCGATGATAGGCTGTGTGGACTCGTGAGGAGAGTAGCAACCATCGAAGGGCTTCATGTTTGCTGCGGTGACGGCGTCAGAGATGCGCTTTCCGGCCTCGGCCGGTTCTCCAGTCATGTCGCAGAAGATAGCCTCATCATGGCAGCCACGCTCCTCTGCCTGCTGGTGGTAGCCTTCGCCCTTCTTGTCCTCTTGGTACACACCCACAATGTGGACACCGTAGTTACGCATGTCGATCAACAAATCACCAATGGTTGCGGCCATCGCGGGGTACATGAACGAACCGGAAATGAACAGCATACGCTTGCCACTCAGAGCCTTGAAACGTAGTTTCTGGGTCTCTTCGTCGGGTCTGTTCTGCATCAGCTGGTCTAGCTCGGCCTGGGTCATGTGGTTCTCAGTGGGAAGCTCATCCAGCAACACTGAGTTGCGGCGTGGACGTCCCTTGGCGTTCAATGCGGCCTCTGCAGAAGCTTCAAGTAATTGCGTCTCCTCATCCACGTGGACTGACAGTACGTGCGAGTTTCTACGCTGAATAACAGTGTCCTTCTTGGCAGTTGCGACAGCGATATCCATACACTCAACCATAGCCTCTATCAAAACATCGACAGGCTTGGACGTCTTGAAGTCAACTGTACCGATCCACTCAGGCACCGACTGGTCCAATCCCTTGCAGTAGTCTCCAGCTTTTTTACTGTAGCTTCCGCCTTCACACAAATCGTGCTTGAGCACTTCATCGAGATACTTAGCCTCCATGAGTAGACCAGTCTTGTGTGCTGGTACCAACAAGAATCCGTAGGAGCACTGTTGTTCACTGAATCGTGGGGGGTTGATGGGTACGTTCATCATGGCCATGGTCATACCCATAGCTGGCGAGGCACCAAACACTTCTATGTGCATCTTGTCGACGGACCCACCTGAAATAATGAATTTATGGATAGGAATCAGCGGGATATTTCGGTTTTGTCTGTCTTAAGGTTGCAGTGGGTATTCGAGCAAAATAATCGACTACCGAGTGGGCAGCGCACATTGTAGAAGCACTACTACTGCCTGTAATTTGATACACATACAGGCAAATAAATTTTTCAGGCACTGGGAAGGCCAGTGTAAGGTATACTACTAGCATAACACCCACGGAGCTTGAGTATTTATCTCCGCAACACGCAATAGTGAACCTAAACCCTCAGATTAACACCAGTAGTTGTTTAACCAACTTTTTAACCAACTTGCACTACAAAATGATGGACACCTTAAAGCATAAGAATAACATATTAGGCGTCATATACAAATGGTTATATTGATGAGTGCATGCTCGATTCGAAAAATACATGGTATTATTAACTATGTATTGGTTGTCATGTTCGAGTAAAGCAGAAAACCGTAAAACAGTCCTGAATACATGATACGACGGTACTTTCAAATCAATTAAGTATAAACTTGAGTATCCACAACTGAACAGGCAACGCATAAGATGACTACACATACCTCCAACACGAGGGTTGCACTCGATGAGAACGGGGCCGAATTCTGTGTACCAGGCCTCCATGTGGAAGTTGCCCATCTTGAAACCAAACGCCTTGACACATGCCGCAGCGTAGTCTATCAACTCCTGCTGCACATTTGGAGGTGTGATGGAGGGCATGTGGAAACCTCTATCCTGGAAGTAAGGGGCTTCAGGCTCCCAGTTATCCAATACGTTACCGTAAACCATCTCGCCGTTCCAGAACTGTACGTCAACATCGAATTCGGTGACAAGTCCACCGAATTTGGTGGGTACAATGAAGGTCTCGGCCAGGATGGGTGCCTGATCACCAACCTGGTTCTGAGATAACATCCAATCACTGGAGATATCTTCTAACAAACGTTTGACCATTGTGTCGAGTTCCTCCTCGTCTTGGATCTTGTACACGCCTGCGGAACCCATGCCTACAGCAATGATAAAGAGTGATGAGAAATAAATACACAGTGACATATACTTGTACACGCTTGCTTGCTCTATACAGCCAATATATCCCAACCACCTCACGAAAAGTCGGATAAAAGGGAAATGCACATAGTAATACTGCACCGATGAGGCACATGGAAATATAAACAACCGTAATACAGGAACGCGTTATCGCAACACCTCACACGTACAGTTTTAACTTTGTATACGATTGATATTGTTTACACAGAGACCTATAGAAAATCATCAAGCACTTTTCACTTTCCTAGACAACGAATACATTATATCTGCAATCTGTCTACTGTATTATATTGACGATACATAAGTATACACATTCGCGTTACAATACATACAGCTATGGTGACATACCTACGGTGGGCTTTATGATCATGGGGAACCCGACCTTCTCAGCAGCCTTGGCGATGTCTTTCTCTGTCCAGATCTGCACCGCCTGTGCAGTATTTAGACCAGCAGCCTCGAGCGCTTTACGTGTCGCATACTTGTCTCTTGCGATCTCATACGCCGAGAAAGGGTTTCCAAAGATACCCAATAGCTCACATACTTTACCTAACATGGGCTGTGTCGACTCGTGAGGTGAGTATGCACCATCGAATTCACCTTCCAGACCAGCGGCTTTAATTGCAGCGACTATACTCTCAGACGCCCGGGCTGGTTCCCCATCCATATCGCAGAGGATCGCCCTATCGTGGCAACTGCGCTCTTCTGCCTGTTGGTGGTAACCTTCACCTTTGCGAGCTTCGTGGTATACACCTGTGATGTGCACACCGTACTCACGCAGGGCTTTGCAGTGATCACTCAGAGTTCCAGCCATGGACGGGTACATGAAGGAACCAGAGATGAACAACATGCGTTTACCCTTGAGCGCTTTGAAGCGCAGTGCCTGTGTCGCTTCATCTGCTGCGTTTGCGTTAAGTTGCTCAAGCTCAGCGGCACTTAGGGATGACATAGTGGCAAGTGAGAAGAGGGTATGTACGGCGAAGTGTGTGTATTAACAATGAGGTTGAAGTCTAAAGCTCTGTTGTTGCCGTGAGCTATAGGCTATTTATGTATCGTACTGTGTTAAATAAGATACTGTCAATCGCTTGTTGTTGTACAACTACTTACATTCGACTTTTGATACAACAGCGGCTGTGCGAGCTCTGTTTACAGTTTTTAATCACTGAAGAAATTTCAAATTTGGTCAACAAGGGACAGAGGAAAGTGGAGCAGCTGTATATATTTACTAATAAGCAATTAAAAACTGGGAGCAAGCATATTTAAACGTAAACGGTTTTATAATGTTTGTTTCTCTCTATTTAGATATATGATGTGTCCGCGTCTCCTCTCTTCTTGTAAACAAACGGTTTACATACACGTACATACGTCTATAATCCCTATCAGATTATTCGTGAAAATTATTTTCTTAAAACAAAATATATACAACCATTTTTGTAGTGACTTCGTGACTGGACAAGCGGTGCAGCCTGAACTCTGAAGGCCTGTAAAAGTGTAAATATTTAGCCTGTAGGCCGTATCCCTGTACCATTTCCATATTAGGAAAGGTAGAACCATAATAGGTTGTGCAACAGTAGCCGGTCCTAAAGTTTGCCTAAAGTCGGCCATCAGGTGCAGTGTGCACTCGCTGAGGGAATCTGGGAGACTGGGGCTGCCGTCTGCCTAGCAGTCCGGGAGCTACTCACCAGTGAACTCTGCACATGACTTCATTATAATGTCATAAACAACAGGTATGAAAAGTTGAAAACTCCTTGTTGTCAGTTGTCAACTTGGTCTGTGACTCTGTGAGTCTGTGGTCTTCTGAAATTCTGATTCCTGTCGGTGCTTTTGTATTCAAGTTTTCAGAACTTGTATGTATTTTTTTTAAAAACAAAATATGAACTGTTTTTGTTTGTTTTTAACTTTTTTCATTTCACAAATCACAAGTTGAAACAACATTGCTCTTTTTTTTTTAAACCTACTCAAATTAGTTACATTGCAAATAGCCCAATAAGATACGGTCTTTACTGCAGGTTTCATTTGTTGATTTGTCGTCATTATTTTTTTAGCATACAATACATAAATACATAAATAGCTGATATGTATGTAGGACTCATATATTTAGGCTGCCCTCAAAATACATGTCATTTTTAGCACAAAAACAAATAAAATAAAATAAAGTACAAAAATACGTCTTTTATAGGCGGCTATGAAAATTATACAGGTAAATACTATTATACATACTATAAATAGATCCATTGAAGCGTCCTATAAAAATAGAATAAATAAATACATACATAAATTCACAATAAATACCATCGCGGCATAAAAAACCTCTTGTTGTTTTCAAAACAATTTATACCAAAATTGTATAATATTCAAAAAAAAAGATTCATCCCAAAAATGCATGTTCTTTTTTCAGGAGAAGGCTATGAAAAAAAAAATCTAAATACTGTAAATATGCATTCGTTGCAGAGTCAACGCAATCACGACTATACAAACATTTTAAAAACAAACAAATATTTACATAACGAATGCATGCACTCTGACTCTGAGTCTTTGACAGAGGAGTCGAGGGCGCAGCTATTTTTAAAAACACTGCTGCAGCAGTAAATACTAAAGATGTATGTACCAGCTCACAACTCAGTGACTCTAGACCACCACTGACCACTGCGGCGCTGCCTCTTTGTTTATATTTTTTCAGTATGTTTATGTTCATGGACTTGTGAAGGCTATTGGTTATAGAAAAAGTAAACAAGACACGACTAAATACACACTCATATGTATATCAAATCACAGTTTATTTATGGCTCTCCTATGTACATGTGTTTTTTTTGTAAGCTAACGGTATCTTCCTGGATGTCACGAGGTTCCATACTGCGACGTCAATACGGCGAGACATGTTGAGTAAGATCAAGGAGACTAGTACTTAAGACTGTGTGCCCACGAGCTTTGAGTTGTATACCGGAAGGGACGAGTTTGCTCATGTGATAGCGGCCGGTCGTGGAGCGGGGGAAAGTTGGATAGAGACATATTTACAAGTCCTTGGCTTGGCGCCGTGGTAGGAGGTGGTCCTTGAATGAACTGATAACCAACCGTGCGTTATATGTATTGCATTCGCTGCAGAGTCAACGCGATCACGACTTTTTACATATCTACGTAAACTTATGTATGTACTCTGCACCACTGTCTATGTTTATATCTTATACACACACATATATATATATATATAAATATATATATATAGTTGTATATAGTTATATATAGTTATATACATAGCTATGTATCTATATATATAGTTATATATATATATATATAGTACG